ACTAAAGTCTACAGCAAATCTGTCACGAACTCAGAGGTTCACAGGTCAATCGATCATACAAACAGTATAATACAAGGGGAAAAAAAAGATGGATCAAAAACAGAAAGGAGATAAAGGTCAACACCAGCAATACAAACATGGAAAATGCAAATTGCAGAATTGCAAATCAGAATGAAATTACCACAAGTTTCAAAGAACTGTGTGGAAATGTGATCTTAAATACACCGAGCAAACAGAAAGCAGGTGTGCTCGAGTTCAGGTGAGTGAGAGAGGGCTAATGTATGAACTCGATTGGGAGTTGGAGCAGTGGTTAAAACACCAACCTCCAGCATCATGAGTGATAAATCATAACTGAAAAGTGGAGCTAACATTGTGTAATAACGTATGGCTTGCTAGTTAGCTAGTTAAGTGCATTAATACAGACTAAAGAAAGCAAAGGAGTGTATGATCATGTAGAACATTGTGTTTGTGCCCTTGTTGGCAAGTTGGCAAGTTATTGGCCAATGTTTTAGCTACCAGATGTATTTGTGTCTGGCTAGCATGTTTATTTTCACTCAATATGTCTGAGGTGACTGCGTGTGGTGAAACAGGAGAGTTATATATCGATTTTACACTGCAGTTTTACCGGTTTGGGAAAAGACATCATCCAGTTTGTCATCCAATTAACCCAGCTAGTAAAAATAATTGTAATGATAGACAGACTCATGTCTGATGATGTGTGTAGTGCAGCAGGCAGTAGGATTATAAACAAGCAAGTTTTTTTGCAAGTCAATAAAGGAGTAGGGTTTTTTTTTTCTTCCTTTTTCTGGTTCTTAAACTCCTGGATGCAGACTTGTCCAAGGTGCCTGGGCTACTGATTTGTCCACTGTATTCTGTGACAGAGGATCCTCAAGCACAGGATATGATTGATTTAGGATAGATCTATTTCACTGGATTAGCGATAGTTAATACTGTCTGCAGGCCAGACCTATCCTAGTCCAGAGAGAAGAAAGAGAGAGAGATCATGGGTATGGCATGTGCAGTATCCATTAAGAAACCCATAGAAATCTTGTAGTATAAAGAACCCAGTTAAAACAGCTGTGTTTCGGAGAGATCAGATGTCAGTGTATATAAATATAATACGAGAAATGTTGTGTTTCTGATATACACTGTGCAAGAAACACATCTTTTTCCTCTTAGAACTGATGAGTCATGAACATACTTTGTGGAGGTCAATTGTTTTCTTTCTCTCGGACTGCTTCTGCTCCAAATTGCCTGTGACACGATGATGCATGTGGGTTTGGATGCAACTGTGCAAAAGTACACAGTGAAACGAACAGAGGAAGGTGAACAGTAACAGAGTAGGAAAAAGTAAAAAAAAAAGGGAAATAGTGACAAGAGACACAGGACTTTGGAGCTTTCAGAACTTGTGACTCACTTTCTGTTGTTGTAGATGGTTCCACATGTATACCCTAAAGATTTCCCCAAAAACAGAAAAATCTCACCTGGATTCTGTAGATTTGTACCTAAGAGCTGCTGATGCGATCATAAACACTGAATCTGCTCAAACTGAACATCCTGTAAACACTCTTACTACTGTTGGTCTTTACTCTTCTACACCTGTATACTGTAATGGTTTATAATCTCACTATCTGGTGTCATCCAGAAGAGGATAGGTTCCACTGTCAGTCTGGTTCCTCTCAAGATTTCTTCTTCATGTCACCTCAGGGTGTTTTTCCTCACCACTGTCACCTCTGGATTGTTCATTAGAGATCAAAATGACAACACCACACCTAGTTCTTTATATGTGTGACTCAGTGGTGACTCAGTGGTTAGTGCTGATTGGAAAATTGTGAGTTCAAATCCTGGTTCTGATAAGCAGTCACGATTTGGCTCTTAATCCTCAAGTGCTCATTTGTATCTTCTTAATTGTAAGTCACTTTTGATAAAAGTGTCAGCCAATATACAAACAAATGAACAAACAAACAAATAAATAAATAAATAGCAATGGAGGCCTTGGAAACCCTTCACAAAGTGAACGTTTTACATTTTCTACTATGTATAGTTCTGCTGAACTGAAATGTGTTTCCCTTTTGCACATATCTTAATCACACATGATAACATTTTAAAGTCTGGTTACCCCTACAAGAGAAAAGGGGGAGAAAAGTGCATGTAAAGATTTCATACTGACTGTGGCGCAGGATCATCACTGACATTTTGACAGCTGTCAGTAACTGGTTACAAAGTAATTTCACTAGGCTCATGTCTTACTGCTTATGGCTTATGTAGCCTAATTGTCCAGTAGTTTGACTGAAACGTGGTATTCACTCTGTGAGGAAATAATGCATAGCAGGGTTTTAGACATCTTTTAAGACTGTTTTTTTTACCACAGCTTTTGTTAAACTGGGTTCATACCCAACCTGATCTTTACAGGCAGGCACCAAGGCAAGGTTAAAAAGTAAATAAATTTTTTTTCCATGTAATTTTGTTAAAATACAGAATGTCCCAAAAGTTTCCATACATAGGGAAAATTAATACTTTTTAGCAAAATGTCTTCCAAAATTTTTCATACTCACTTTATATTATATTTATTATTTAAGGAAGCCTTTAAGAATGCCTTTGACAAAAGAAGAACATACTGAAATCATTCTCATGGCTGGATCAGGAAGCTGTAACAAGGTTGAACAGGAAATATGGAAAGCACATCACACACAACACTGGTGCCAAAATGATTAACAATTTCAAAAAGACTGGAAGTGTTGCGGACCAACTGAGAAGTGGACGTCCACGAACATCCACTGAAAAAGCACAACCAGCGTGGTGCTGGCAAACATAATCCCCTATTTATGGAGACTTTTGGGACACTTTGTATATTAATGGTTTATTAAAATAGAGGTGTCAAAATATTTCACAGCCATAAAAAACAAATTTAGAATTTTTCCACTCAACTATAAAAGCCCCTGCATTGTTATTGCCTCAGTGTTAAAGAATACAGAGCTATACAGCATTTAAACAGCGCTGTTGTCTTTGCAGTTCATACACCAGCAGTAACAACGTGCCCTTTACAAACTATGCCCTTTATACAGTGTCTGGTATTAAGGACGTATCCAATTACGAATGTATCCAAGTGAAAATCTGTATATGAAATCCATTTTATATTCAAATTTGACTTTTCTACAGACTTAGTGTGAAATTACCTTTTATGAGCTTTCTCACTACTCACTTCCAGAATTTCTTATCATTATACAGCTCACTTTGTGCAATGTGTCACTCCGATCTGATCTCTCGGGAAACAGATCTAATTTTATAATGATGAGACTAACTGTTAACCTCTTCAACACTCTTCAGTAATATTCAGCACTCTTCAGTAATATTCAGTAATATTCATCCTGAGAAAAATGCCAGTTAAAATGGCCAGTTATTATGTTGAGTATGAAAATAGCAATTGTGCATTTCTTTCTTTCTTTCTTTCTTTCTTTCTTTCTTCCATTTTTCATTCTTTTTTCTTTCTTCCATTCCTGGGAGAAGTGCAAATGCAGTTGACGTCATGTAATAGTAACCTGCAGTTCTCTCTCTCTATCTATCTCTTTCCTGCTTGTTTCTTCTCTTTTTTTATTTCTTTGGCATATACTGTTGACAGGATGCAATAGTAATCTGCCGTTGTCTCGACATCTTTTCTTCTTGCATGTGTTGTTAGACTGGTCCTAGAAATATGACAGATCATAGCCAATAATTTCTTCTGCAAATCAAAAGATCCACTAATCCACTAATATTTAAACATGTTGGGATAAACATCTGAGAAGAAATGCACCATTAACACACAGCATTTTTTGTTGCCTGAATCGTATGAGCTGCCACAGGCACTACATGCTCTGCTGCACTTTCTTTATGATGGATCTTATGTCTGAATGGGTCTGCAGAATCAGGAGTGAGTGATGGAAAATCATGATTTGTGGTGACAGCTGAGCCATTAGTAATTAGAGAAAGCAGAGATGCGGCTTTACAGGACAGATTTTGGAGTCTTTCGCTCCAGATTGTTGAGACTGCAGAAGCTATGTCAGTAAGCACACTTGGCACCATTAAGTACGGGAATGATGAGGATTTGTTTCCTGTCCATAAGGCAGTCAGTAATCGACTGACAGATGGAGCCAGGCACAAACAGTTTGGTTAGAAAGAGCTATTGCTATTTTCAAACATTTTCACTTATCTATCTGAGATTTCAAAGTTAATGAAATGTGAAGAATGTGTGACAGGCAGAATTATCTATCAGATAATTTAATTATCTATTAGACAATTCTGAGGCTATGCTGTGCTGTTGCTTCTTACACCAGCTTTCTTTCCTTCTTTCCTTACTTGTATCTTGTTTCCGGTTGTGAATGAGATTTCAGACCCATGTCTGAGTGGCGGATTTCCCTTGGCCTTGATCTTCCAATATGTGACGTGTCTCCATTGGCCATGGATTGAGTTCAGCCCCGGATCACTTGTGACATGTCTGATGTGTTCATCAGTGTCAGGGAGGTTTGCTCTGCTCTGCTCTCGGGGCTGCTCAACCCTTGTGCTCGCTTTCTCTGATGCTTGTATAGCTCTGAGGCTCTGTGTATGCATGGTGCAGTGTTCAGTGCGGTGGTGCTACAGCCGTGTAGGCCATGTCAGTGTCAGCCATCAGTTGAACTGTGATCAGCTACGCCATTGGAATTCAACGACATCAAAAGCTTTTGAAGGACTCTGAAGGATTCGTCTGTACCTGCCTCCATCAGCCTTTCATGGTTCCATTTTGGTTTGCAAGCAAAAGACTCTCTAAGGTCTTATTCTGGGGAGTAAATTTAGTGTGAGTTATTTAGACCTCTAATGATTGGGTTTATGAGTTACAGGAAGATGGTACAATTTTGATACAGGCATGAATGCTAAAGAGAGCCAGATTTTGACTGAAAATATTAGCAAAGAGTGATGCTAATTTATTTGTGCTGTGTGTAGTAGAGGCAGGGTCTTTTTATTTTATAATTTTCAAGTGCTTCTTGGGGTCCCTGGAGGACTAGTGGTTAAGCCACAGTGCTCTCACTGCTGTGGGCCAGGTTCAATTCCCAGCCAGGGAACCAACCCGCATGCAACAGTGCACTGTCAGTGCCGGTCCCAAGCCCAGATAAAACTGGGGAGGGTTGCATCAGGAAGGGCATCCAGTGTAAAAACTGTGCCAAATCAAATACATGGACCAATGAGCCGCTGTGGCAACCCCTAACGGGAGCAGCCAAAAGAGGAACAACAACAACATTTTCAAGTGCTTCTTAGTCTTAACAGCATGGAGTCACTATTGTTAGAATTTGGTACCACAAATAGTGGTAACACTTTCCTTAAAGGTCGTTTTTATAGCTCTATGCAACACCTACTGAAATGCTTTACTGCTATAAACCTCCATAACAATTTATAAAAGCTTATTCTAATAAGCATCAGCTGTCATAAAGACTAACTTTCTTTAATTGCAACTTTCTGATTTGTAATGTCATGTCAGCTGTAAAGAAATATAATAACATAACTCCTAGGTTCTGATGTGATCTGTAAGTATATCTAGTCAGTTTAACACATTTATTATTTTTATTAGAAATGCTGACAAGCTTGATGATTACCCTTTTTTTTAACAATCAATACAGGAGGACTAAAGACAACAATGAGCCAATAAGAAACTATGAAGGGCATTTACAGCCATGCCCCTGAGTATGGTTTAGTGCTGTGAATGGACATTGATTGCATTTCAGTGCGGCACAACTGCAAGACACTGATGAAAGTATGATGAAATGCAGTGCAACAGGAAATTACATTCACTTTAGACACAGTCAGCATTTAATTCTTTAAAAATGCAATCTTCTGTTGATTGTTTCTCATTGAAGAGATCAAGTGATGTAAGTGCACTTGTGAAAATGCAGTGGTTTTGCTTTTCAGTGTAGAACATTTCTGCATGTCACTAATGAAAGGAAATGCCGTATGTGTTGTATTTTGCTGTAAATCTGTCTGGATGGTCAAAATTACCGCAGTTTCACCAGAAGTAAGATGACTGTAGAATCAGGAGACTGAGAGCCAGGGTATAGTCAAAGAGATGGTTTATTGTGAGCACAGAAGACAGCCTGGGCACTGTATAATCTAAACATACATTGGAAACAGTCGACTTTTATATCAGCGTGTGTGTGGAGAAGACACACATAAAGACAATATAGATAATCCCCAAGGCTAAGATAAGAGAAAAGCATAAAAACAAGAGCAAGGACAAAAACACTGTGACCCAGAAAATCAGATATGTGTACATTATGAGTGAACAAAAGACAGCCACGTATACATCATGGGATCATGAGTAAGCAAAAATCACATTGAATTGATCTTAAGTGATTAAATCATGTATCGTCATCACATAATCATGGAAAAATAGGAAAAACAATCCCACAACACCCCCTTTGGATGACCTAAAACCATCCATTAAGGCAAGCTTAAACTTTTTGTACTATTCTACATACTATAACCACTGGCCACGTGATTATCCATCTACATATCCCAAAAATAAGGATAGGCCTTACCCTTCTACCCACGTATCAAGCATAGAGTAATAGACTCTTATTAAATGTAGGCTTTAGGCCTAACAGTAGGAGTCAACATAACTGTAGTTTCTGCTACTCAGGAGTCTGTTTCGGGCTCCTAGAGGCACAACAGCGAACCATGACATAAGTTAATAGAAGGATGGCAAAGAACACCATGAAACAGTAGAATTTCACGGCCATATTGCCACCAGGAACCTAGCCAGGCACCTAACCAATCACTGTTAACTTAATCGATACTTTTGACACGGTCATGCAATTCATCTAGTTCTTTAGTGTACTGAGTCAAATTTATGGTCTCGTCGAACATATCCGTACAGCACTCAGGGCCTACCACTACACACTTACCCCCTTGTTGTGCTAGGACATAGTCTAAAGCAAAATCATCATCCGGTGTGATTGTGATGTAGTGGATATAAGACCTAAGGCTTGTGCATAATGAATTGATCTTAAGTGATTAAATCATGTATGATCATCACATAATCATGAAAAAATAGGAAAAAAAATCCCATAATTTCATGTCTTTTCACCAGTTTTGCTCTTCTCCATAGATTAGGAGCGAATCTCAGTATGTCAGTAAGGGTTGAAAGGGAAAATTTTAACAAAAGTGAACAATACTTAAATATTGTATGATCTGCAGGGTCTTCTCAACCCAATGTTTGGTTTAAATATTGACAAGAAAACCTGCTGTGCATTAAACTGTAGCAAAGGAGTTATGAATGTTTTATCTGGCCTTAAACTAAAGTGAATTATTTTTGCAGATAATATTTCTCTGTCATAATGACAGACTTACACAGTATAAGTAAACTAAATTTAATTCTACTATTTATAAGATTATGATGTAAATATTTGTTTCTGATTTTAAAGTAGAGTGAGTTTGGTTTTTAATGCTTTGATATTTCACGCTGACTCACTCAGCTACAAAGTTAGTAGACATTATGTTATAACGTTTCCAATCAGTGTCAAAATAAGTTTTTTACATGTATCATTTAAATGTATTCATTTGGCAGACACATTTTTTCTTCCAAAGAGACATAGGGCTTGTATTGGCTACTTGTAATGATCACATTAATCACTACAAATTGGTTTACTTTAACATGGCTCCCACCCTCATCATGGACAGCTTATAAAATAGCACTTGATCCAGCACGTCATATTATTTTATACACAAAACTTAAAGATGACACAATATACTAAACTGAGGTCAAGAAATCATAATACTCGTGCACGAGATGTAATTTATTTAATGATGCCATTAAATTCAAATTGTAGTGTGATATATTGTGGACACTGGGGCTGGACTGTAATAATGCCATTCACTTGCGCCGATATCGCACAATAACAATGCTCTTAAGTCCAAGACCAGAATCCAAGGTCAGGTCCAAGGTCAGAAATCGATTTACTCAAACTCAACCCAGCTTGCATAACTCTTGCACATCTTCTAAGTAATGCTTAAATCTGGATTTACATCTGATTCTAGTGCAAAACCTTAACCACTGAGCCACCACTGGCCACTGATAATTTATAATACTGTATGAATACATACGCTACTTAGAAGTTCTTCCATGTAATTCTGTAAGTTTTTTTGGGAAGTTTTGAGTTAATATGCGCCAAGAAGCAGAGCCATCTTGACAGGCGGTGGTATTTATCATTCAGTTTATGGGTAATTTATTCAGAAATGAGGACCCCAGACAATGCCTGCTCCAAAAACTGTACTGCCGTCATTATCACAAATCTGGCTGTTTGTGTTCTCTAGAATCTGTCTTAAGCTCTTTTAAAACATTACTCATGCTGACAAAGAGACTGGAGATTACTGTATAGGATTTCCATATCTCCTGTGTACCTTTGTTTCTTCAGGATCTGAAAGGATCTCTGCCTATCCTCCCACGCTTGCTTATGGCATTGTAATTGGTTATTTAAATAAGCGACGTGGAACAGCAGCATTTGGTGTACCTCCTACAGCTTGTACTGACATCACTTATTCCTACTCTTAGGTGCTGACTTCAAGGGGGACCTTCGCAAAGGGAGGTCCATGACTTCATGAATCACACATTTAAGCACTGTGAGTAGAAAACAAGTCGTGAATGATAAGTAAGGAGCGGTCAAAACATGACCACAGAAACAGCCTTCACAGAAGCCATGCTGCTAACATCCATCTTCTAGAAGTTGTAATGGATATGGGCGGCTGCTAAATGCTTCAAATGTAAATATACTGTAAATCATCTGAAGAGTGAAAAATTAATTTCTGGTCTGTTGTTTTAGGAAGACATGCATCTAGTTTTGTTTTTTTCTGATTTATTTATTTTTCTGTTTCTCTGTATAAATGGTATAAATGGGATTGCAAGTCTAAGCTCTCCCTTTCTCTCTCTCTCTCTCTCTTTATCTCTCTCTCTCTCTCTCTCTCTCCATCCTTCAAGGACATAAGAACATTGCTGAATTTTTGGCATCTGTTTTTTTTTTTTTTTGCTGGTAACAAATATGGATTATGTTTTTACTTTTAAATTGTAAAATGTCAGGTACTGGAACACTAAGCGAGTAGACAGGGAGGGTCCATTACAAATACCAAGAACGCACATATGGCACAAGGTTTAATTTTGTAAGCAGAGACAAAAAGTTGCAGAAAGAGAAATGTTGATAAGGTGTTGTCTAAATCTGGTTCATTTGGGAGAAACCCTGATCACATTCTGCACTTCCATTTGCTTAATATGGAAAGGAGCAAACAGTATTTTTGGATTTTTTGGACACACAAAGAACACTCATTTTCTGAGTTTTCTTCTTCTTCTTCTTCTTAATAAATAATAATAATAATATTTTTATTTGTTCATTTTTTTATTTTTTAATAAAATAATAAAAATATTAAATATGAAATAAATATTAAAAAATTCAGCATAATGGAACTTTTCAGTTTTGAACCAAATTAATGGTCTTGTTCAATATTCAATCAGTATTCATTAAACGAACATTTGGAAATCACTGAAAACCTCATTGTATTGGTGAATGCAAAGTTATTCTTAAGGTTTTCAGCCAAAGGTCATAAGTAAAAATACAAGGGCTGATTATTATTTTTTTTTCCCCAGCCCAGATTGTAGCTTCAAGTTAAGTGTCAAATGATTAAATTTGGTTAAAGGCCACTTAGAGTTTGTGTGCACTGGGGTTAATTTATTTAATCCTGCTTCGTTGACACATCCATAACATCCATGACACATCATCAGCAATGATCAAGAAGGAGCAAGTTAAAATACAATAGCATAATAAACATGAATGAGGTGGATTATGTTGTCTGATTACATTTTCAAAATGCCTTGGAGGAGAAGTAAATAGATTAAACAACAACAAATTACACAAAAACAAATTAAATGAAAGCACAAATCGCAGAAATAGCTGGCAGACAGCTAGAGATAAAAAAAAACAAAACAAAACGTGGCATCATTATGGATGTGAAACGCTTAATATAGCAATCATGTATGTGTATGCATAATAGTTTTATGCCTATAAGGCTTAACCTTAATGGTTTC